GATGAAGCGGACCGCCCCGAAACGAGGTGGTCACAAGACACCTTTTTGCGTGAGTGCGCCTACATGGCGGAAAAGCTGCTCAAGGAAAAGGTGTCAAACATGGAGCAGTTTGAGCGCGCGCTCAAGCGGGCGCAGCCGGTGGCCTACCTCGCGTTCTACGACGCATTCCAGCAGCAGACCCAGGTGCACATCCCACTCCCTTCCCCGAGCGTGTGGCACTACGAGGGCGAGCGGCGCAAGCAGTGGGCGGAGCGCTTCATTCCCATCTCGCATGAGGCGCAGCAGTTCTTTGAGAATGTGCTCGCGGCTGACGTGAAGAAGTCACCAGATGGGGCGGAGAAGGTCCTGCAGAAGGTGGCGGCGGTGCTCGAAGAGGTCGGAAAGGTTCTGGTACGGCGGCACCAGCGTCGCCTCGGTGGGCGTGCATGGTCAGCACTCTCAGACGCAGAGAAGGACGTCTTCTGCGCAGGTGACGCCCGGCGCGTGCAGCTGCAGGTGGAGACCGGCGACTTCGACCCGCCAGAGGACGAGCGCGATGTCGGAGAAGCAGCAGCGGAGTGGAAGAGCGAGCACGACGCCATCATGGAGCTAATCACGGCACCCATTGACGGCCTCGGCTTCACCGCGCAGGACTTCTGGAGGTGCGCCGTCCGCTGCGAGGAGATGGAGACAGAGCACATCCACGCGGAGGAGCGTGCGCGTGCCATCAGCGCGGCCGCACGAAAGGCGCTCTACAACACGACCTCGTTTGACGCTGTTGTGCAGGGCGCCGTCGACGCCGTGGCACGCGGTAAGTTGGACATGAGCGCGGGTGTATTGGTGCCGCACTTCAACGATGTGTGGTGCCAGCTCAACTACGCCAAGTTTGGCGCGGCGACTGTCACGCAACACACGACGACGGCGCGGCGGCAGCTGTTCTTCCACCACTCCGGCTCCCTGAAGGAGGTCGCCGCGACAGCGACTCTGTACTATGCGACAAAGCCGCTGAGCAGCTCCCTCGACTACGCGTCACCGTACAAGTTCCGCCGTTCACTCCTCGCGCTTTGCTCCACGTACGGGGTGGAGATGGCGCACGCGACGCAGCGGCCGCTGTTGCTCTCTGCTGCACATCTTGCACGGGCGGAGGATTTGATGCGGACCATCGTAACCCACGCTGCACGCCCTTTTGGCGAGCGTCGACGCGCCGCTCTCGAGCGACTGCGCGTGAACCACGAGCGCCTCGCTGTTCCTGTGCGGAAGGTGTTGGTGACGGCACCAAATTCGGATCTCCTTGCGAGTGGCAAGGAGCTCTCGGAGTCGGCAGCAAACACAACAAAGAAGGGGTCGGTGACGATGTGGCCACTCGGTGCCCGGCGTGCCTTGTCGTATGACTGGCAGACCCCACACCTCCAAAAGCTCAAGGCGGTCACCGCTGCTGCAGGCGCCACAATGACCGCGCAACATGTCAAGGAAATACATGCGGCTAAGCAACGCGCATTCGTTGAGGTCTCGTTGTGGAGGCGGGTAACCCCAGAGGAAGTGAAGCAGCGACGGGAGACTGCAGAAGCAGAGTCCAAATGGGTTGCAGACACACTGCGGTCGGTGCCACAACTCAGGCAGGTGCAGCAGTATGCTACTTCTCTCTATCAACGTGTAGGGGAAACTCTACCGGAGCTTCCTAATGCTGCTGCTGCTTCTGCTCCTGGTGGTGGTGGTGGTGGTGAGGAGTCTGCTTCGGGAAAAGATGATGATACTTCGACGTGGGAGTTTGCCGTCATGCTCGACGATCGTGCCACCCTCAACATGGAGCAGGTGGCCGATCTTTATCTTCCCTACGCGGATGCCAATGGGGTGCCGCTTCCCCAGGGTGAGTACCGTGTGCGTGTGCGTTGCTTTGATCTGGACATGAACCCCAACCACAATCCGGCACTCTGCAGTGAGGCCTTCTCCGCATCGCTGCAGGTCTTCGACGCCATGCCGCAGCTCATCAAGCAGTTCTTTACGGTTTCAAAGAAGGGCGAATCTGAAGTGCCACACATCCCGGCATCAGATTTTATTCCCTTCTGCGAGTTTCTGCGTGAGGCTGGTTTAGATGTCCCCCTTCGGTGTGAATTTGAGGCTGGCCAGGCCCTTACAGCGGAAGGCGATGTCTTTATGGATTATTTCCAGAAGTTGTTGCGCAGCGATGAGTTCCATCGGAGCTGTGCGCAGGCTGGTGTGACGGATGCGCAGCGGGAGATTGAGCCATCATGCCGCGCTCACTGGGAGGTGCACCACCCTGGTGCAAACGAGGCGGAATGGGCTGAGGCCCGCCGCCATGTGCTTGACCGGGCAATGCAGCAGGAAAGGGAGTGGTGGTTTCCAAATGACATGTTAGACGTGCAGGACATCGCGACAGGTAGCAGCAGTGGCCACATGGCGTCAATGTACCCAGCAACAATGCGGTACGGAACCGAATTGTGTACTGTACTTACAGCCGAAGGCAGATGCGACAGTGGTAGTGGTTTGTCTGCAAAATGCGAAGTAAATGGCACAGGTGGTGTGGAGTCGCTCACAATTAGCTCAGCGAACTGCAGCTCTTCTATGATCTCTATAGATGAGGCGTTGTCGGTTGCACAGCGTGCACTACGCGGTGCTCATGACCGCCACAACACACTTAGCGCTTTCCGTCTTGGTCCACTGGTGAAGCAGGCGCAGGTAATGGTGTTCTGTGGCATTAACGCCTTTGAGTTTGGTGGCAAGTACGCTAGGTCCTATGTGTACGCCTTTGGGAAGGCCAAGAAGGAGCTTGCAAACACCGCCGTCTCGGGCCGTGTGGTGTTGGGCGTCGGTGATGAGGATGTGGAGCGCGTGTCAGACAAGGAGGGTGCCGACCGCTTTGCATCGACCACGCATCCTGAGCAGCGCAAAAAACTCTTCGTGGCGCGCGTGGGGCCCGGCGCGGTGCCCATCGACGACCCCACGCCCGAGCAGAAGTCAGAATGGGGGCGATAAAATAGCGACTGTTATTTGTTTTGTTTTTTTGTTGTTGTTGTTGGTGTTTCCGGGTTTCTGGAACTTGGCGGAGGCCGCCGTCTTTACGTGTCTGCATGCGTGAGGGAGGCGGTGGCGAAATGAGCAGAAGGTCTGCTGCTTGAATTAAAGAAAGGGGAATCGTAAGCAGCGACATCATTCATCAAGTCGGCTTTTCTGCTTCGGTGGTGACCAATTTCGGCAGTCATCTCTCTTGCCGTGCTGTCTCATGTTTCTCTATGTGCCTTCGGTTTCTTTTTTATTTTTTATTTTTTCTTTCATTCACTCGGCGGGGAGCGCGGCTTGCGAGGGCGTGCGCGGAGGCAAAAAAGGGGGACAACAAGGCGGAAGCAGGCATCTGCAATAACACAAATAGCACGCATCCCGTCGTAGCGTACAATCCTACCACACATACGCAGACATATATATATATATATATATATATATACGCGGTGTGTCTTGCACGATTGTGGGTGTCGCGCTTTTAACCAAAAAAAAAAGAAAAAAAAAAGAGCCGTAACCATTACATATAGAGAGGGTATCAATACTGTAAGTTCTTCCAGTGTCTACTCATCATCATGTTTTCGTTTCTGCAGCGCAGTTGGGAATCTGGAGAGGAGGGACAGCTTATCGAAGAGATGATTGCTGGAGCGTTCAGTGACTTTGCCCCGTACGCGGGCGCTGAGCAGCAGCAGGTGCGTTTTGTCCGTCAGCATACCGATGGCACCACGGCAACGCTTCTCTATGATGAGGACGGCGAGTGGGCGGTGAATTTAGGGAACCCGCACGCTGGAACTGCGGCGTTTACGACTAGAAGAGACGTTTTGTTTGACCTACGTGCGCGCCTCCCTCTGCATTGGGGCAAAGCGAACAGCAATAGCAACAGCAGCAGCAGCGGCGGCACCGTAGCAGAGCCTGCCGCCTCCTCCACTCTCTCCGATACGCGCCGTGACGGCCTGCGCTTCACGTCCTCCGCAGTTCTGCCGCCCCGCGGCCGACCCGGCAGTGTCGGCGTGCTTGAGCTTCTTTTCGCGCCGGGGTCACAGCGGCGTGGTGCGGGGCTTCGCGTCGGACCCTTCTCGCTGCGCG